GGTTACCAATCAGCCATCAGGAAAATTACTGTCGCTAATAGCTGACATGTGGTGCGAAAGCACGCTGGATGCCAAGAGTTACCTCAGAAGAGAGGGAGGGCAGGCGGCCCCAATAAAGAGGTTAGGGAAAATCCTGGGGCTTATTTTTAGGGGCTGTGATGAGCAGGGAGTGTGGAACTTGTACTACTTGGTCCAAGGCATTGGGCTTGTCTTCAACGTTGCTTTAATAGTTTCTTTAATTTTTAAAGGCTGTCACCATCTCTGACCCAACTGGTCCAACCTCCATCTTTTCATCCTTATAAAGTTCTAAATTTTAGCAAAAATTAAATTTCCAGGGAAACACCACATACCTGCTGTTCTCTGAGTTCACTGAATTTCTCTGGGGATAAAACGGCTGCAGTGTGGTTTTGAGCTATGTTCGTGTTGTGTGTGTGTGCCACCTGTCCAGGGTGGAGCAGTTCTGCATTTCTCGCTTTCTTCTCCCTCAGCATGGTGTGAGATGTCTAGTTTCCCATGCAAACGACTCCTGTAGTTAATTATTTGCCAAGGTCAGTCACAGAGGCTGGAGCACCTGTGTTTTTCAGCATCTTGGGTCACGACAGCCATTTGCTCTTTGATTTTGATGAACTGTTTCGCTTTTTTTGGGTGGCTGTGTTCTTTAGCCACTCATTTGAGAGAGCCCAAGGGATCTGAAGAGTCACTGAAATGGAAACGAACCTTTTTGTAGTAATTCCTCTTTCTTGGGAGACTCATTTGTTGTCATTTTCTACCAAATGGCTGGTATTAAGTCTGTAGCAAAATCATTTGTGCAGTAGATGTCCTACTTACAGTGACAAAAACCGGTCACAGATCCCAGCTTGATGTGTGAGACCCACAGCTGTGGGGCAGGAAGAGCTTGACTGCCTCGCCTGGCGCTGCAGTTGCTCCTGATCGCACTGATACCCCAGACTATCCCCGAGGATCACGCAGAGGCTGGTCCGGCTGCCTCGTTCTCCCCAAGGCAGACCCAGAGCCTCAAAGGGAAAGCAGGCTATTAAGATGCTGAATTGAGGCGGATCGGACTAGGTGCTTGGATTTCTGCCTCCTCTTCATTTCTGGCGAATTCCACGAACTTGGTGGAAAGTTCTCTGAAGCTGCTTACTAGGCCTTGCTTTTGTCCATGAACTGGTTTTTTAAAGTGGCAATTGACTGTCAGCTACTCAACAATTTAGTTAGTCTAAAAAGTATCAAACCTGTAGAAGATGAAATTAATAAAATGTATTTCTCGGGTATATTGCCAACTAAAAATTTTTTTACTGCCTATTTCTGGATTAGTTTATTTTTGGAGAGACAGAATAATTATATATACCTTGCTATAGGCAATGCAGGAGAGTTCCAGCCACTCCATGTCCTTGCCAATACTGGGTGTTGTGAGTATTTTTAATTTTAGCCATTCTGCAAGGTGGGATGGTATCTAATTTTGATTTTAATTTGCATTTTTCCAATGATATTGATCATGTTTTCAGGTGCTTTTTTGATGGTCATATATCTTCTTTGGTGAAGTGTCTGTTCAAATATTTTTGCCTATTTTTTTTATTAGGTTGATTGTTTTCTTATTATTGAGCCTTGAGCATTTTTTATGTTATAGATATCCATTCTTTATCAGATATATATTTTGGAAACATTTTCATTATGGTTTAATAATTTTTTGCAAAGAGCAGAAATTTCAGTTTTTGATGGAGTCTAATTTATTAATTTACCAATTTTCATTATCATTCAGTTCAAAATATTTTCCAATTCACTTTGTGACTTCTATGAGTTCTTTAAAAGAAATTTTAAATTTCCAGATATATTTGTGGGCTATTCTGGATGTTTTATTTTTTGTTGATTTCAAATCTAATTCTGTTGTAGTAAGATAATAGAATCTGTTACATTTTAATATTTTGAAAACTATTGAGGGTTGTTTTATGGCCTAGTATGTGGTTTATCTTGGTAGACACTCCATATGGACTTGAAAGAGTGTGTATATTCTGCAGGAGGAGTTGGGTTTCATGTTTTGGAAATGTCAGTTAGGTTAAGGTGATTGATGGTGTCTTGTCTCTTCTATATTCTCACTAATATTTTTGTCTAATTCTGTGAATTTCTGAGAGATGTATGTTAAAGTCTTTCCCTATGATTATGGATCATCTTTCATTTTTTAGTCTTACCAGCTTTTACTTTGTATTGTGAAGCTTTGTTATTAGCTACATCAAATTTATAATTGCTCTTTTTGCCTGATGTATTGACTTTTTTTGTCATTTTGAAGTGTCCCCCACTTGTCTCCAGCAATATTTCTTGATAAGATGCCTATTTTGTCTGTTACTAATATAGCCATTTCATTGCCTTATACTTTGCTGTTTACATAGAATATATTCTACCTAGCTTTTTACTTTTTGTCTGTTTATGTCTTTATATTTAAAGCATATATTTTGTTGACAGCATACAACTGGGTCTTGGATTTTAAATCTAGTTTTTAAAAATCTCTGTCTTTTGACTGGACTGTTAGTCTATTTACATTTCATTATAGGTATGGTTATACTTAGATCTCTGTTATAATTTGTTTTGTCTTTCCTCTTTGAAAAATTTTTCTCTGTTCCACCTTATCTTCTTTCGTTTTAAGATTTTTTTAGTATTCCGTTTTAATTTCTGTCTTGGTTTGCTAGCTCGTTATTTTTGTTCTTGCTCTAGCTATTACATACTCATCTTAAACTTATTAACTTGGAGTTAATATTGAATTACTTAGGGTAAAATATAGAAACCTTAAAATAAATAGTGTATTTTTATGTATCTATCATTTTATTTACAAAGTGCTATTTTATATATTAGACATATTTGTTATAAATCTGTCACTACTGACTAATAAGTTTTAATTAAGTAGTCATATTTTTAAAAGTATTAAGAAAAGAAAAATATGTAATTTAAAAATATTTACCATTAATTTTTTTTTTTTTTAATAGATCCCAGTTGCCATCCAGTGTCATTTCCCTTCAGGCTAAAGTACTTCCTCTAGCAGCTTTTGTAGTGGAGTTGCTGGCAACAAATTCTCTCAGGTTTTGCTTACTGAAAATACCTTTGTTTTATTTCACTTTCATGTTTGAAGGATTGTTTAGTTGGATAGAGAGTAATTAGTGATAATTTTTTTCCTTCAGCGCTTTGAATCTGTTGTTCCAGCACATTCTGGCTTTCATAGTTTCTGGTGAGAAGTCAGCAAGTGAGTTATTGTTCCTCATACATAATGTGTCACTTTCCTATGAAGACTTTCCAGACTTTCTCTTTAGCTTTTTTGCAGCTTCACTGTGATGCGTCTAGGAGTGATTTTATTTTTGTTTATCTTTTTGGAGGGGTTGTTGAGCTTTTTGAATCTTTAAAGTTTCCTACCAAATCTGGGAACTTTTTGGCCATTATTTCTTCACAACTTTTAGACTATTTTCTTTCTTTTTCTAGTCATATGTGTATCAGGGTGCTTCATATTGTCTTACAAGTCTCTGAAGTTTGTTCATTTTCCTTCAGACATTTTTCTCTCTTCTTAGGTTGGATCATTTCTAGTGATCTGTATTCACGTTACCTGCCATCACTAATCTGTTGTTGAGCGTATTTAAAATTTTCAGTTATTGCACTTTTTAGCTCTAGACTTTCTATTATGTGTAATTTCCATTTCTCTGTTGAGATTCTCTGTTTATTCATCAAGCATATATTTCCCTTTATTTAAAAAAGTTATTTTAATTCTTTTTTTAACATTTTTTATTGATTTATAATCATTTTACAATGTTGTGTCAAATTCCAGTGTTCAGCACAATTTTTCAGTCATTCATGGACATATACACACTCATTGTCACATTTTTTTCTCTGTGAGTTATCATAACATTTTGTGTATATTTCCCTGTGCTATATAGTGTAATCTTGTTTATCTAGTCTACAATTTTGAAATCCCAGTCTATCCCTTCCCACTCTCCATCCCCCTGGTAACCACAAGTCTGTATTCTCTGTATGTGAGTCTATTTCTGTCCTGTATTTACGCTTTGTTTTTGTTTGTTTGTTTGGTTTTGGTTTTAGAGTCCACATATGAGCAATCTCATAT